GGAAACTTTGAGGACAAGCTTTGAAAAACCTCCTGAATGTTGCCAGTGACATCAGATGCACAGGACTGCCTACACCACACATGTCAAACTCAAGGCCCGGGGCCAAATCAGGCCCTTGGTGGATTTAATTTCGGCAGTAGGATAATTTTTAATTACTATTAGATCTGGCCCGCCGCTATATTGCACGCACACACCTTCACTCAATCCTGAGGGTCTCCTCAGCTCAGAGCCTGACCCCTAACATTGATGAACTTGCACCCAAGATGAGATGCCAAGTATCTGCTTAATCTAGCATCACAGAGCAGCACACTGAGTTCAATGGATGTTTCCTTCTGCACTTTTTCTCTCACGACAACAGGGCATGTTTGGTTTTTTCTTTGAGGGAAATTGTTTTTTTGAAGCTGTTGTTGGCCTGTGGAAAAATGTGATCATAAGAAATGACTCTGGAGAAGCTGCAGATAGAGCCATAAGAAATGAATGCAACTGATTATGTAATGTTTAATGTTCTTTTTATAGGCAATAATTTAAGCTTTGTTAGTTCCAGGTTTAATATGTGCAATACATTGATTTCAATAAGTTCTGCAATAAACATTGAACCAGTCCGGCCCTCGAGTAGTACTGAGTTTTTAATTTTGGCCCACTGTGTATTTGAGTTTGACACCCCTGCTCTACACCTTCCTGATGTGATGAAAGACTTGTTTGAAATGTGTCTGGTAAGAAGCTGTAGGAGGGGATTGCATGAGGAGCAAGATGAGAGGAAGTTGTGAGGAAGAGCGTTGTGGGCTTACATGGCCACTGAGAACTCTACAAGTCCATTTGTGCTTCTGTTGCTCGTCTCTGCACTTCATTGTAATCTGAGTGGGACAGCCAGCTCATTGTCCTCACAGCAAGACAGGCTACAATAATGTGTTCTCTGTCTGCTATGACATATCAACCCCACAATCAGGGACGGTTTTCAGCGCAGTATATTGGAAAGATTGCACTTCCTTTCTTTTTTCTACCGGAAATGGAATATGTATGGACTTTGTGTTGTTGTGTTGGTGAAAAGGATTTATTTTTCTACTGATGCAGAAGGAAAAGAAACGTTTGCAGTTATTAATGATGGCAAAAAGGCTGCTGCTGTTAAATATAATACAATATATTCAGGATTGGCAGTGCTCCTCATTATTCTCTGGTTGCTGATGTACAGCTGAGTGTTACAAGGATAGATGCATATTGGACATTGTTGCTGCTTGTGTCATGATCGTTCCTCCTTATTCCAGCAAACACATCGACTGATCCACAAAGGTGCTGATAATGACGCATTTCACCTTTGGGTGCTCTGCTGTGACTCAGCATTTCCTTGGGACAGATTATTTTTTGACTTTATGATTGCAGCCTCGGTCAAAAGATGAATTTGCACCCTACAACCAATCAAAGCCTGCCTTCATATCTTGCTTTTTGGGAGGTCTAGGTGTTGAGTATGGCTGCAACAATCATTTGTATTCCAATTGGGAGTATTTCAATGTTAAGTTGCGTCAGTTCCAAACTCAAAGGTATTCAATTAAATATGATACAAAAAGAGAAAAGCAAGAAATATGATCCACATTCAAGAAGCTGAAAAGCACTTTCCCCGGCATCAATGACTCATCGACGTATATCCTATTCTTATTCAAATTTCCGCTGTAGTGTTCAGGACCACAAGTCAAATAAATCTAGGTCTAGGTGAAAAGCAAATAACGTCCTCTCAATACAGAGTTCCTCATCAGACAGCAGCCACAGTTTACATCTCTGACACACCTGTCTGGATTAACAGGTAGAAGGAATACATCTCATGTGGAGTGCTTGGTGTAGGAGAACATACAACGAGACCAAAAACAATCAGAAGTTCTAGTAATGTTAGCTTCATCAGGTCTGCCCTGTCAGCAGCCTCTCTGCTTGGTCAGCAAAACAACACATCCATGTTATTATGTAACACTGATCACTGGTCATCTGTCTCTGATGTAACCCTGCAGCCTGTGATGGACAGGCTCAGAGGTGAAAGAAGAGATGAAGGAGACCCCCCTCCCTCTGTCTCACCCTCCCTGTCAGGTAGTCCACATTATTATTAAGAGGCTCCCCCATCCCACGAACCTTACCTTCCTAAACGTTGCGGTAATCTCTCCTGACTTTGTGCTTTTATTCTTTTCTAAAGGGTACAGAGAGGGGAGAAACCCTCCGTGTTATATAATGTGTGTCAGAGACAGATTACTGGTGACTGCTGATGTCAGCTTCAGCAACTCTGCCTGCTCTATGTGTTGCAGTGTTGTCTGACCCCTAGTGCTCACAGGAGGGAGCACATGCTGCATCCCTCAATGGACCTGACCGTGTGTGTGTGTGTGTGTGTGTGTGTGTGTGTGTGTGTGTGTGTGTGTGTGTGTGTGTGTGTGTGTGTGTGTGTGTGTGTGTGTGTGTGTGTGTGTGTGTACTCTGTTGATGTGCTCTTTGTAGCATCGGAGATCCGGCAGTTAGCTCCTATACTCTTCATATGTTTGTAGCGGCATAATTATAAGGAAATAAAACTATTCTCCAAGTCTAAGCAACAATATCCTTTTCGTACATTTATTTCCGCTTAACGAAAATACAATGAAAAAGGATTTCAGGTATGGTTGTCCTGCAGCCTTTCCTATAATTGTTCTGGTCTGCTGATCCCACCCTTTATACAGTATATATACAGTATATCCCGCCCCCAGCCTCCTCCAACATATACATATAATTTTATTGGCCAGGATAGTATCTAGATGCAACAAGCGTCCATTCAAGTATTTAATGGGTTCTGCTCATTTCAGGTTCTTACTTTTATTTGGTGTTTTACATGCTGTATTTGCATTGACCCTTTGGAGCGTACAGACTGCTGCACCACCATTAGTTTTGTAACACTTTTAGGGCAGTTCAATTTCACCGGTATCTGTGGCTGCTCAGCTTGTGGTCGTACTGGTGTGTTTTTTTACAGCAAGGGTATGGAGTCCTGCTTAGATGAAGAACAGACAGAGTATTTGATACAATAGATTTACATTTAAATTCAGCAACTGCAGTGCCACACATGTTTAATATGTGTTTATTAGCCTGCATTGGTTTCAATGAAATTGGTGTTTTTTGCTGCACATAGCCATGGATTCAGTTGGCATGAGCTGCACCCAACTGGCTCCAACCGGCACTGTTTCAGAGAGCCTTGTTATTAGTGCAAAGACTTTTGTAAGATCCTTTTATTCCCACTATAGTTCCACTCAGAGATCCTGAACCAGTGTAAGCAAGAGTAAATCAGATTAGCTTTCCGATGTTGAAAAGTCGATTATGTGGGACTGAAATATTTATATTGGGCAGCGAGACTCCCAAGGGTCTATGCAAAGCTGTTGACATCTCCCTTCTCCTCGAATACACTTTAGTGTCACCCATAAGAGAGGTTAAACTCATTGAAACAGGTCTTACTGACTAAAAATGTAAGAATGTCCCTCTTTAAACACTAGAGATACTACTGAATAAGTGTATTCGTACACCTTTGTATTGAATATATATATATATATGTCCCTTTGCTTTCATGTCTGCAGTAATGACCTCACTCTGAGATACAGTATTGACATTTGTATAAAATACAGTAGTAATATTCACTTTTACTATCGCTATAGTATGAGTGTGTGTAGTGGCTAAGTACAACAATAGACCCCTCCCTCTCTCACCATGAGAGTCCCTACAGTCTAACAGCATCACCAGGGATGACACGCACAAGCACACACACACACACACACACACACACACACACACACACACACACACACACACACACACACACACACAGATAACTGAACTCAGAGACAAAGGCTGAAGGGGTGGTTAGTCTGGCACTTTGTCAGAGCCCAGCGTGTAACAGAGGTACATGCAGAACACACACCTTGGTAACTTCCTCAAAAAACAGCACCC